AAGGCTGCTGGGAATCGCTTTGAAAATTCATTAATTTGTTAGCGATTCCCAGCAGCCTTTCGCGCTCGTATTCGACTTTTCCGCTTTGCTCTTGGACAACCTTAATTGAAATAGCTGCATGCATAATAAACATTCAATAATCCAATACCTAAACAAACCAAAATATTGAATCGTCATTGTTGTCATAGCAACGGCAGTTGCGTAACTACAGTATTGTGAAAAAATTCAACTCTTAAGATATTATTTTACAAAAGTAGATGCTTTTTGTTTTTCAACGAGTAATACGTGTCCAAAAATTCGTATTTAAATCGCAAGTTTTCAATTTTTAAGAGAACTGCATCGAGTCACCTTAAAACTCTTCTAAATCTGAAACCTAACACGAGTCTTTGGCCTAACGACTGGCTTAAGGGACCATTCATCATTTATACCCGGGGTTGGTACCGAAAAGATATGGGTTGGGTAATCAAGTTTTTGACTAACTCATGGGTTCGGTAAAAAAAGTATGACAGTGTCTGTCAGCTATAAAATAAAACCAAAATTACCATGCATTGGAAAATATGAAGAAAAATGTGTACAATACATTCTGTACCAAAATAGACCATCAGTTATTGAGGAAGGACTCTATCGTTGATCAGCAGACATGTGATTGCTTTGGCACACTCAGTGAGTTTGAGTGTGAGTGAGTTTTTAGAATTTAGGCAACTTGATTTCTGTCACCATAATCTTGTGTGTTTAATTATTATGAAGTACAGTAACGCTTTTGACACGGTACCGCACGAGATTTTATGCAATAAGCTGAAGAAGCTTCCTATTAGTCCCTATATTACCAATTGGGTCATCAATTTCCTAACCAATAGGTATCAACGAGTCGTTGTTGATGGCGTTAAAACAGAATATTTGCCTATAAATCGTGGAGTTCCTCAAGGAACAGTATTAGGTCCAATACTGTTTTCTATAATGATTAATGATATCCGTCCTGTTCAAGCCTCAAACTTAATTGTTAAATTTGCAGATGACATCAATCTAGGGATTAAGGTCACAGATGATAGTGACGCCTCTTATATGGAAACAAACAATATTATCAACTGGGCGGAAACAAATCGCATGAAACTTAACTATAAAAAGACGTGGGAGATGGTCATTCGCGGCAAGATAACCCGGCCACTTCCTGCGCCTCTGCCTATGATTGTTCGTAAAAGTTGATTGAAGATACTTGGTGTAACGTTTCAAGAGAATCCTTAATTCCATGTGGGACATGCATCTAGATGAATTAATGAGTAAAGCATGTAGCAGAATGTACATTATTCGGATTTGCAAATACTATGGGTTTTCTAGGAAAGAGTTGGATCTTCTGTTCGACAGTCTTATTTTATCATTATTAGTTTTTGGTATAGAGGTCTGAGGATGTGCGTCGTATTCTAAGTATCTTAGTCAAGTAGATAAACTTTTAAAACGTGCATATATAAGTATGGATATCTTATGTATCAGGTGTATCGATTGTTAATATATTAAACAATAAAGACAGAGATTTATGGGAGAAAATAACTACGGATCCCAACCATGCTCTGCAAGTTTTGCTGCCTCCTAGTCGTCAATTAGAATTACGCAATCGCGGACATGAGTATGAACTACCGAGAGTTCGAACAGAATGGTTTAAAAGAGTGTTCGTTAATAGATGTCTTTTTAACTTTATATCATATTTTTTAAATTAGAAATTAACTTCTTAGGAACTACATTAAACATTATAACAATGGTAGTTTAGCTCTATTAATGAATAATATCAATACTAATACAGTAATTAATATAATAATTATTGATAAGTAAGAGCAAATTGTAAGCCCGCACGTTTGTTGTGAGGTGTTGCTTTTAATATTTTAATAAAGATTTATACATAACACATATGCATGGGTTGGGTAAACATTATTTTGACCAATGTTGAAGTTGGGTAAATGAAAAATTTACACTGTTTTTCGCTTCTCTTCGGTACCAACACCATGCAGGTATAAATAATGAACGGTCCCTAACCTCCATAATGAACAAGCTTTCGTTGGCTGGGATGCAACTACTGTATACCTGAAAACATATAAGGAGAATTTCGACTGTTCGAACGAAGGGCCTGCGCTGAATAATATTTAATGAAGTTGAGACAAAGCATTTGTGCATGGTGAGGCACAGTTCAACATCAAACAAAGGTCTTCTATTTTGTTCCTTTGAAGTTTGACTATATGGATTATCATTAGATTTATCATTCATTTATCATTGATTTACCTTTGATTTATCATTGATTTCCATTTTATCATTGATTTGAAGTTAGTCTAATCATCTCTCAAATTTTTTTTCAAAATCATCATCAGTTAGTCTGACGATGATTTTGAAATAAAATCGAAACATCACAAACTCAATCTCGTCTTGTTTTTATTCGAACCTTGAGTTTCAAGATGCTAAACTTCCGATTGTGTTTTGTCTGATACTTTTTGAAATTGTCGGCTGATATATTGTTTTTTAAAACAGAAGAAGTCTGAGCTAAATGAGAAATACGTGGCAAGCGACAGAACAAAAGATATTTTGATTAAGTTTTGACTTCTGAAAGTTGAAAACATGTTTTTATTTTGCACTAGTGGCTTACAAATGAGTGAGTAAATGATTTACAATTTGGAAAAACCTACACCTGCAGCGTCTCGTCAGCTTTATCAAAGACTTCAAATTGCGCTCGTCCTAATTCGGACAGTCCAGCGGACGCATGCAATTCTGATAATCCTTGAAAATCTCACTTGTCCATGTTTTTCCGAAATGGACACGAAACCATACGATTACCTATACAAATTTTAGTGCTGTATAAAATTTTATATCAACTACAAATCTAAGTACTATTTAAAACACGCGGAAGTGTTTTAATTATCATATTTAAAATGCGTGTTCGCAGCACGAGCACTTTAGACGGCTGGCCAAGTCATCATTTTGTACAACTGGATGGCAACTTTATGTTAGAAGCTGGTAACAGGCATTTTCTTATAGTTCAAGCCTTGCATGGTGAACAAGACTATATGTGTTACCACTTCTGATTTTTGCTTTATGGCCAAAAATTTGAGAATTTTTAAATTTTGCCTATTAAATTACTATGATCGGAAAAAATGTAAAATCTCATGTTCTCTTATACGAAAAATACACTATACCACTAGAAAGAGCGTAAAAATCTATATATAAGACAATTAAGTAAGTTCTACGTTTTTCCGATCCTATTTCGAGTTTTTAATGCTAAAAAATGCAGAAATGACCAAATTAATGCTATTAGTACCCATTTTGCCAACTTTAACCATCTTTAATTCAAAATCGGCTTGAAAATCGCACTAGTCGCTTTTAATTGTCTTATATATAGTTTTTTGCGATCTTTCTAGTGGTATAGTTTTTTTTGTATAAGAGAACATGAAATTTTACATTTTTTGCCATCATAGTAATTTATTAATAGGCAAAATTTTAAAATTCTCAAATTTTTGGCTATAAAGCAAAAATCAGAAGTGGTAACACACACAGTCTTATTCACCAAGGCCTGAACTATAAGAAAATGCCTGTTACCAGCTTCTCACATAAAGTTGCCATCAAACTCTCTTTAGAGGCACTTTCTGCCATCCGTTGGCCGGCCGACTACTTTAGATATGATAAAACACGACTACAAGTGTTTTGAATAGCTTCAAACACGATTACAATAGATGCCGTCCAATTATAGTATTCTTTATGTAAAGGGTACTAATTAGAACGGACTTTTAAATAAAGAAGATGGGTTTTTTCAGGGGACTGCTCCATTTACTGTTCTAGAACATTTCGAAGTGCACACGGTGTTCTGGAACAGTGTTTAGTTTATTATACATGCGTGCAACCATCCATTACTATACATTCATTAGTTATTCGCATAATAAATCGAATAATGATTTGCTGTTATTTGTATATCTAAGTGTGCTTTTGCAACGTTTTTACTCGTTGTTTTCCCAACCCTGGCGTTCAAATAGCGTATAATAAGTATATGTCCGTCGATATACAGTATAGAGGTTAACCCTTCAAAATAACACTCCATCTAGTGTGCATTGGATACACAAAATCTGTCGTCTTCATTTCCAATCACGTGAAAATGGGAAGTGTCATGCACGTGTCTGTTCTAGCTGCCCCTACTTTGAAGTTGGGGTAGTCAGAACAGTTCCGAACAGTCATGTGATCGTGTTCCATTCCATTAGTGTTCCCAAAATCCGGAGTACTCTGAACAGTAAATGGAGCAGCCTTTAGGTATGAAGCCTCTTCGCGTGACATGTTATGGTTGACGTGATTCGCCAATAAGCTTATGAATTATTAATGAGTGTTTGAATGTTGTTGAAAGCGCATGGCACGCATGTTATTTCAAAATTATTACGCTAAAAGCGGTCATATTTAATGTTTATTTTCCTGTTTTCAGATTGTCGAAGTCTTTTTCTCAGGCATACCGACTCTGGAAGGTGTATTACAGCATCGGACGAGCTCGCGTATGATGCTCCAAATTTGGCGTTTCCTTACTTTGTTGTAATGACTGACAACTGCTTAAATGTTAGTGCACAGTTCCGTTATCTTGATAACGAACTGTTGCACAATACCGAGAAGAAGGGAACGCTGATATCTTCCACACATGTATCCTATCACGATCGTTGGGCCGTGTATAAAGGCGTGAGTTCAAGTGCAAAAAGGACTCAAAAAGTACTAACACGTACCGTTTAAAACAAACAGACGCTGGATCTTTATTCCTTTACGACAAGAGTAGGAACGTATGTGCCGAGCCTGCCACAATATATGTATTAAAAAACGCAACTTGTGACACAGAAAAACAAAAGTTTACTTTCGGTAAGTAAAACAGTATGTAAGGAAACTGATGCACCGTATACAATATTGTCAAAAGACTGAATAGATGGAGAATTGACTCGCTATTTATATCACCTGCAGGTTCATTAGGACTGTACGTTAGTAAAACTGCTGTAGTAGTAAAATAACATACAACATTTTTAGATTAGCTAGGTGGCAGAAATTTGTGATGAACCGTAAGGACATATTCATTAGAGGGCTTCAATAGCCAGGAACTACAAAGCGTAATTGAACTACATGTATACCTGTAGACGTTAAAAGCTCACGCTTGTGAAAAAAACTACTTGAAATAATTAAGTCATCTTTTTTATTTAATTGATACCTATATATTGGTCTATATATGATATATGAACTATGTTTACGACAAAATCGATTTTTGGGACGGGGCTAATGCAACTATATATGAAAAATGCTAAGGGGCTAATCCCCACCCAAAACCCTTATATTATTTGATATCAAATTTTACTCTAGGTATAAACAGAAATTAAATATTATTCATGTTTTTCTTAGCTGCATGCATCAATTGAGAACGGAAGATTTATACTCTAGTCTATTTTAGGTTCAGTGACAGCCTACAACGCTAAAATGGAATATGTTCATTGTTCTCCAAAACAAAAGATGGTGGTGAAGAGTGCTGATTATGGAGACTTTAATAAGAATGGTGCCTTTAATGACGATCAAAATATTGACACAACATGCAGCAAGTTAACCAATTGTCAGGTGAAATCTCTTTGTGGTGGAAATAGATCTTGTGAACTGACTATGGATAAAAATTTACTGCCATCACAATACTGTTCTGATACTTTGAAAGAAATTTATACCAAATACACTTGTGTGGATACCTACGGCTCTTCCACTATAACTACAGGTAATAGTGATATAATTACATACGAACATATCACTAAGACCGTATCGAAGGCACTCCGAGATATGTATAAACTAAACATGCCAAATAGACTTGACTGCACATGTTTATCCATTTGCACTTTTGCACCAAACGGCCTCGCTTTTCGTGTGTGTCTGTGTTAGTACGGCATGCAGGCACACATGAAAGTTATATCCTCTTGTTTCGTGCTTGAATATGTTTCTCCTTGATCTTGATCCCCATCGCAAACCTATTCTTACCCCTACTGCGCACGAAATATGAGGAATAACCACGTGGATACAAGGCTGAACAAGGCTGAACTGTGCCTTTAAGAAATAGCTAGAATTAACGAGTCGCGTGCGTTTACATTCCTCGCATTATCACACCATAAACGCACGAGACGAGTTCTATTTCTTCAGTTATAATATTAGAAGAAGACATTACCCAGTGGCAGTGCTTAGAAACAAGCTTGCATTTTCAGGCGCGCGAAGGAAAAAACCCATAAATTTTAGAAATTAAACTTAAATAATAACTAATTCGAATTTGTTATGTTGCCACAGTAACAATCGTATTTACCAATATAAGCCATGTACACCACAGTTATAGTAACAAATACAGGGATGCCAGAACTGGGGGGACAGGAGGGGCAGCTGCCCCTCTTGCCTTTTGCTAGGAGGGGCAAGGGGCAGAAGTGCCCTTTGAGTTATAAAATACTACCTGATAAATCACGTTTCCAGTGATGCTTTTTGCATGGGCAAAATCACGAGGTGTGATCCTGAATGTGACCTGATTACTGTAAGTGCTTTTGCTTTCATTGGCAAGTCAACGCATAATTGCAGGTTTATATATCTTCACCGGGGTCTATAGAGGTACCCTTTGGTGTGCGTTTGTCCCCCTTGCCTTTTTATCGTTCCGGCGTCCCTGGTATCCATACAGTAAAGTTTTAACAAATATTGCTGCCCAGAAAAATGATGGCTGAGAAGCAAGTGCCCTTTTGAAATGGCTGCCCCCGCCGCTTCACATTGCTTTCGGCGTCCCTGAACAAATACATGCATTGTAACACATTCATAAATTATAGTATTACATTGGAAAACTGATTGACAAGAATT